AAAAAAAAAAAAAAAAAAAAAAAAAATGAGGCCCTTAATCTAATTAAGATGATTGGGAAAGGTGCGGAGGAGTAATTAATTGGGGAGATCTTCTGAGAACAAGTACACAGGGTCAAGTATCAAATGACATGATTAAAGTGACAGGTATTCGGCTGCCACCTAAAAGGCTGATGACAGCACCCTCTCCCACCTATGACTGTAAAGCGCCACCGGATGAATATGTGTGACTTGCCTACTCTAGTTTGTGGCCAACTGCAAGGAATCCTGGTATTCTCATTTCTGCTCATGCTTATAAGTTAATGATCCGGTAGCGCTGGTTACTCAATTTTAAAAAAATTCAGATATACCCTGCAAATAAATACAAAACATTTCTGTATCCCTACAATCCCACTACCATAAAAGGTTATATATAAATTTAATAAATTCAGCTTTCTTAACCATTTTCTCAGCTTAAGTTTGTCCTTACCCTAAGTGAAGCCATGTTCAACTTATATCTAAAATATATTTAAATATTCTAAAGGTATCATATCAGACCTAAGTTATCAAAAACTGTAAACAAAATTTATCCATCTTATAGTTATAAACCACTTTTTAAAGTTTTTAATTCACCCTCTACTGGCCCTCAAAAAAAAAACCTAACCAAGTCACATTTAGACTGAAAAGCTGATACAGATTTTTAAGTGGTTCCTCAGAGACAACTGCCGATTACTTTAAACTACTGTTATTGAATCTAGTGGTTTATTGCATCACTCAATTTAAAAGACCAAAATGATTCCATTTTGGTCTTCCAGTAATGCTCTTTCTGAATAAGCCCCCAGATTCTGCTGTCCGAAGTAATCGTGCTGAACTGGAGATTCTGCAGTAACCCTCGGCACAAAACTGGGACTGGATGTCAAGCAATCTCATGCTTTCAACTGCACCTATGAAAAATCTCAGCTCCCGGGATCAATCCGCTTTGGTTGAAAAGAACTCCAAGGGTGGAAACTTAAGGTGAAGTCGAGAAGCAAAAAGGGGAACACCGATGACCCTCATAAGAAAATCAAAGGATCCGTTCATCCCGTGATGTCATCCTCACACTCCACAGTCAGACTGCTTCTCCTGAAGCTGCCTCGTCAGTATCTGATATGAAGACAGGAAAGCCACTCCTATGTGGAAGAGGATTTGCCAGAGGTTCCTCAGCCCATGCAGGTACATGTTGCCCAGGCAGATAAAGAGCAGCATCAGCACCACCTTCATCGTCCTGGCTGGACTGTAGAACAGGTACAAGTAACACTGAAATGACACCAGAAGAGCAAGTCCCATCAGAGATAACGAGATGGCCAAGGTCAGATGCAAGATTCACTTATCCTACCTGCCACGCAGTGTCGCTTCATACACATTAGCTTATTAAACTGAATTCGTTACAATGGAGCTTGGACTCACTGGATCAGCTGCTGTTAATCACTGGATGAAAGTGGGGATTTGGAAGAGGTAAGAAAAGTGAAAAAGACATCACAGGAGGAACTAGAACATAGCACTCTTGAAAGAATTCAAGAAAGACAGACAGAAATGCCCTGGCTGTGCTGTAGAGAAAGAAGAGATGCAGGTCAGGGGTAGACAGCCAGGCCAGAACACCCTAACAAGATCGACAGGCCTCCAAATGAATTTTCCTTCAGGGGGGTCATAACAGGTGAGAAAGCTGCTGAGAGAAGCTGTGCTTTTACTATTTTAGCTTTTCCTGAGTTACAACTGCATAGGGGACCACTGTTCCCTAGACAGCCTCCCTGTTATGTCTTCAAAAGCATCTCTGAGGACTTCCCTGGCGGTCCAGTGGTTAAGACTCCATGCTCCCACTGCAGGGTGCACGGGTTTGATCCCTGGTCGGGGAACTAAGATCCCACAGGCCAAGTGGCACAGCCTAAAAAAAAAAAAAGAAAGGAAAAAAAAAAAAAGCATTTCCGACTCAGGGAAAGGTCTTACAGCAGGGAGAGTGACTGGCGTTTCCTGTAGGGCTATCACACAGAAAGAGGCCATTCTTGTTCTGCAAAAGGTGGAAATCATTTTTTGGTTCAATGTTGGGTTTTTTTTTTTAAAAAGACACATTCTCAAAACACAGAACAATCTGACAAAAGCTCGGGGTGGGGAGGGAGAGAGTTCCCCATCGAAAGAGCTATCCAAGTAAGACTGCAGTTGAGGGGATGAAGGCGGAACTGTAAGATACCCGCAGCCCTGAAATGCAGGCTCCAGGAAACTTCTCCTGGCAACACCCAAGGTCTTAGAGACTTGTTTTCTAAAAACATGAGTGCATTTTCAATCTTGGGATGAAAATTTCTTTTTGCACAATCAGGTAATTCTTAAAAACAGGCCGTCTAGGATGTATGCAGGAGAGAGAGGAAGTGCCCTGAGAACAGAACTTTTCATTTAAAAAAAAAGGAAGAAGATTAAACATGCAGAAAAGGTACTAAAATCCTAGTCCGTGTGGACGATGAGGAAAGACAGTCAGGTTTTTACTAGAATTAACTCTGCCTATAGGGGATTCAAAAGCTCCTTTTTACCTGACTCCTTAAGTACACAGCTTAGCTGAAAACAACTAATAATCAAAGGGCTCTAGTTAGTGTTATAATTTTTGTTTCATTTCCTAAGGACAGATTTGACTCAGATGGTATTACTATTAAAAACAACAAATTTTTTAACCTAGTCCTGTGTTTGAAGAGAAACACATATACGGGGGCTTCCCTGGTGGCACAGTGGTTGAGAATCTGCCTGCCGATGCAGGGGACACGGGTTCGAGCCCTGGTCTGGGAAGATCCCACATGCCGCGGAGCAACTAGGCCTGTGAGCCACAACTACTGAGCCTGCACGTCTGGAGCCTGTGCTCCGCAACAAGAGAGGCCACGATAGCGAGAGGCCCGCGCACCGTGATAGAGAGTGGCCCCCGCTTGATGCAACTGGAGAAAGCCCTCGCACAGAAACGAAGACCCAACACAACCAAAAATAAATAAATAATAACTAAAAATGAAAATCTGCTTACAAAAAAAAAAAAGAAAGAAACACATATACATAGGTGTCACTTCTGCAGAAGGACATTTCTGTACTTGGACGCCCCGACAATAAGCACGAGGCAGGACCCTGCCTCATACTGGTCAGGCCCAACCCAATCCCCACTGCAGTCTCACCCCTCGCTTCTTGGGAGTCCAGTTCAAATTCCTGGTTTCTGTCCTGCACTGTCAAAGGCCCTGAGGCCTAGGGCAAGTGGCTTTCCCTTTCTGAGCCCAAAGTTCTTTTCTCTGTAAAATGAGAGGATTGGGCAGGATGGGTGGAGGGTCCTTCCACTAAGGGCTGGTACTATACCCATGATTTGAACCAAGACCTTGGTGGAACAAAAGCAGGATCTAGAAACTTGCTGATGGTTCCAACAGAACAAAATAAGGCCATGGGTTTAACCCACTCACTAAAACATCAACGTTTCACCCACCTGGAAAATGCAGGCTACAAAAGGAATAAGAAAAGCCAGAATATTTCCAATTTCTTCATGTGCAACCTAAGATAAATATGAGGAACACAAGGAAAGGAATATTTAGAGGACACGAAACATTATGACGTGAAGTGCTTCACTCCGCATTGGGTCTGGTATGGTTGACAGTACAAAATCCCTGGCTGGGTGAGAAATAAGCCCCCGTTCACGCATCGCACCAGCGGGTGACATGAAATCCTTCTGAATGGCCTGGACACACCAAGCCCCCTCCAGTCCCCATGCATGTGTGCTGAGCCCTCAACCTGGAATGCCCCCACCCCCAGCCCTGCCACCTCTCAAAATCCAACTCATCTGTAAGTGCTAAGCTTTCCCCAACTCCCCCCACCCCCCGGTACTGCCACCTCCCTAGTGATGTTGTCACACTCTGCTATGTGCCCCAACTCAGGGACTATGTCTTGACCAACGAACACCTGTTCTAGTGCATACAGACACTCGGTAAGCATCTGCTTATGAGTCGTCATAAACAATAAGAGTGGGAACCACACCACACACTGTCCAAAGACGGGGTGTGGAAACAGCCAGCCACCACTCATGGCCCAGGCCTGCTGCTGTTCCCCAAACACTTCGGTCCCCATAAGCCACCTGAGATTCAGTCTAAGCTGCACTTCAGACTTTAGCCACCACGTGCCTCGGTGTGAGCGTTACAGCTCTGCTTTTAATAGTAACATCTATCTGTTCATGTTCATAGTGGTTCCATACTTTTTCTTAAAGTGTTGGAAATACTTCAAAATTTAAAAACATTTAAGAAGCACTGAAGTAGAAACGTGCTTTGAGATGAGCAGGCTGGCGAATCAACTTCGCAGTGGCACAGTTCTTTTGACAAAGACACCAGGAAGCTGGTATCTGAATGATATAAATCAGACTATGAGGCCACTCTCCCCAGGGGAAAAAAGGGCCTGAACGTTAAAGTCTGAGCAACAAACTTTTGCCCTGGATGAACAATCCAGACCCCACACTGACTCCTGGAGTCTCCAGGGCCATGGGGTGGCCTGATGTCCTTGAAGCACGTTTTCCATTTCCCTCCAATATCCCAGCAGGGCCCTTTGGCGTCTTAGGAAAGCAGATACAAAAGAGCAAGTTTCATATTTGTTCAACTTACGACAAAGAATAAAACGAGAAGTAAAAATTTTACTTCAAATTTTAAAATGTAGTACATAATAACCTTATAAATAATATGTATCCCCATCCGTTTCTTCCATCATGTGTCTTTTGATTTAAAATGTATATAAAAGGTTACCTGTAAAGAATGTTCCGCGAGGTGAATTCCACGAATGAGGTTCAGAGCAGCACACATGATGTTGAGAATAAGAGAGAGGATGCCCAGGGCTGTCACAGGTTCCATTCGGAAATTAGGAGCTTCACAATGAAAAACGAGAAGTGTCTAGTGAAAATAATTTCCATATGAAGGAAAAATAAAGACATTAACTAGACTTCTGCTAATGAAAAGGTTTATTATGTTAAACACACAACTGCAAACATATTAATTTAAAAAGCAGCTGTAGTTAGAGGGGGAAAAGGCAAGAAATGAAGGACAGAATGGATCTGGGAATCCAAGGTGAATTTCTTCCAGAAAGAGGCCACTTCTCCGAGCAAGCACAGATTTTTCAAGTGCTTCATTTCCTTTCTATTTAAAACAGTGGTTCCCAACCAGAGACGATATGGCCCCTCAATCAGTGTCCAGAGACATTTTAGGTTGTCCCCTCTGGGGACAGGTTGCTACTGGCACCTGTCGTGGGTGGAGGCCATGAATGTTTCTAGACATCCTACAATGCACAAGACAGCCCTCACAACAAAGAATTTCCAGTACAAAATGTCAATAGCGCTAAGGTTGAGAAATCCTGATTTAAAGCAGTTTATGGCTTTAGCTGTAAATTGGTTGTCAAATCCTGAAGCATTTCTATTACACAGCTCAACCCTCAGCTTGTAAAATGTTCCATTCTTTTTCTGACAAGGACAACATTCAGTGTCATGTGTGCTTCTGGAGCAATTCACAGCAAATGTAATTTTTTAAATTCCAAAATTATTGGGAAGAGGAGGGAAACGTTGATTATTTCAGCTACAAGCTCTTTCTGGAACTCTAATTAGGACAAATGACCCTTCTCTCTTTAAAGATAACTGCTGAAACGGATTCTGGTTCACTCAATTAAATAGTGTCCCACCCATTCCCTTGCTATGCTCCTTTTAAATCATCCTTTCTTGCCCTTACATTTCCCACATACGCATACACACACACAGATATCTAGCCACAACCCAACTGACGCCTACTGTTAGTGTGTTAGAGTTTCCACTGGGCAATTCAAAGTTTCTGTTAGAACAGAGCGTGCTACCTGTAAAGGTTCTAGCCTTGGAACAATAGGGGGAGTCAAACCAGAGTAAAACATCCTAGAAAGACAGGCAAGTTGACACTTTCTGGATTTTCTCCTCTTGTCTAAGTGTTTATAAGACAAAACATGCATCACAAAGTTACCCTGTCTACAGATACGGCAAAGGAGAAGCTTGGGGTCTGATTACCCAGTCTTCCTTCCACAAAAGTTAAGTTCAATCCCAATATAAATTACAACAACTTATTGAATGGCATAAGAGCCAATCCAGGAACTTACTGGTTGAAACAGATCAAATCGAAACACAAAGTTAAGCCAAAAATGTGAACATTTTTAATACACCACTTTCAAAATTCAAGCAATGAATTTAGTATAAAACTGTTAAAACAAAGTAATTAGACTGTTATAATGTAGATGGTTCTATCTTCCAGGGAAGGATTCAGCTTTTACACCATTACAGAATTCTTAGAATGTAAATATCCACTTTAATCAAAGATTGGTTCAATTGTGTGTAACTGTAAACAAGGAATGCAAAAAAGCATGCTTTGCTATGTGCTAGGCATTGAGCGGCTACTGGTGTTAATGCCAGACTAAATCACAGACGCCAGGGCACTGTGAGCACGTTCATTAACACCTCATTCCTCAGATAAGGACTCGGAAATCCAAACGGATAGAGGGATGTTCCCGGGTCCCACAGAGAAGCAGAGAGTGAGAGGTCTAGAAGCCCTGGCTCTGGCCCCTGCCCACTCTCATCCCCATAGCCCTCCACTCCCTCCATCAAGGAGCGGGGGTTTCTCAGTGGAGATTCCCAATGTTTCACTAAATGATGAGATAAGGACTCACTGTCAAAGGCAAAAAGGAGAGAGAGAGAGAGAGAATGTACAAATCTGTACAGTTCAATAAGTGACTTCCAGCAAAAGAGAGTGAAAATCTCCTTTACACCATTTAAATGTGCAGATTTCACCCTGGTTAAGAAAACAACCTGCCAAGTCACTCTTCTGAATTTCGTCAAAAGAGTTGCCTCTCTTCAGATCGACTCACTGGTCACAACAGTTGAGTTTTTTATAACAGCCACCTGGAACAAGATCAGCCCATGTTTCTCCCCAGGTATTTTATACACTGCCCCCCACCCAAACACCTTCCTACTAAAACAGTCACTGTGCATTTGAAATACACCATCTCACCTCATCTTTATCAACGTCAGAGAGCAGCAGCCACTTACCAGGCTCCAAGTGCATCTGTGGGTGACCGTTCATCACCCCGTTAGCCACATCTGTGTCCTCCAGAGTGAGAACCACTGGAGGCTGGAACTTGAGTTCCTCCTGAATTTTTTCTAGGCTGCTCTCCATCTGGGTGGAACTTACATAGTTAAAATGCCACTTCACTTTCTGAATGACACTGTCTGTGAAAAGAGAGCAACCCAAGCTGAGTGTCTTCATTACAATGGATGTTATAAGACAATACGTACACAATGAAGTTTATACTTCTAAGCAAGCTAATAAGTCAGCCAGACTCTGAAGAGTGTCAACTACACATGAAGGTCAAATGATTAGTACGTATCGGGACTGGTCTCATCAATCTCTTCAAAGCAGAAAAATTAAAACGTGACAGTCTGTCCATCAGAACCTCAGGGGCAAGGGAGTCAGGGGACAGAGGCTTGAGTCTTCGCTCAGCCACGACTCATAGTACAATCCTGGGCCATTCATAGAATATTTCTAAGATAGAAAAATGGGGACAGTCATTTTTGACCTGATTATCCCAAGAAAAGGCGTGTGAAAAAAAATTACAAATCATTGTATGTTTTGCAAACTAGGATTATGTATCTGAAAGGTACTGGTTTTAATTCTTTTATTTACATTAGTATTAACCACTACCAAGTTTTAATAAGTATTTGAAGTGAAGTTTCATACATATTGGCAAAGCAAAATCATGTATAATTCTAATATCCACATACTTTTACTTATATTCTACTCGTACTCAGTAATGAATAAATGTGATGCGTGGAAGGGTCTCCTGTGAGACCAAGCCCACCGCTTTGGAAGGAAGGCGCATGCAGAGATGAGGGGAGAGAAGAACACAGGTCTACCAGCTACCCATCAAATAACAGCCAAGGGATGCTGTAGCTGTGGTCCGACTGGGGACAGCATGTCCTTCAGAAGAAGTGGGGCTGAGAGCGGCAGTTGGACCAATCCTCACAGGGAGACTCAGGCAGAACTCACGGTCTATGTCACAGGGCTACCAGGCTGGGGCCCGAGTATCAGGGAGCTCCCCAGCACCTTTGGGTGACACCAAAAGGGGGTACTGGCCCCATCACTGATGGGCCAGCCAGAGACCACATGAGGGGATGTGAGCAGTAGCTGCCAGAAGCATAAGTGGCAACACTTCCGGGTGCCAGCCCTGCACCTGACCCTGAGTACCAAATGCTGCCAGCCCCTCGTTCAAGAGCATCACAGGGACCATGGCGATTTACATTGAGACCAGAGAATGTCCCCCAATTCCCACCTCTACTCCTCCTCCCCAGGATCTCAAAATGACTTGAATCACGGCTGACAGATACTGATAGCATACGCTATAATTACCCTGCTGTGTTCCAAAGCCCTGAGCCTCCACACAGCCTCTCTGGCAGGGCCTAGAAAAGGAGTATCCTGCTGCAGAGCTCTGCTCCTCAAACCTCTGCATGAAGGACCAGTTTTTTCTTATTTCCAAATGGTTGCAGACAGATACTTTGATAAAATACAACTGAAAATATCGCAGTTCCAAATTACTGTAAGAATTTCTAAACTCTTATTCTCACGCTCTGTACGTCCCTCATGCTGGAAGAACGGGTACCACCCTTGAGCAGCGCTGCTCTAGAGCAGGGGTTGGCAGTGTTCTCACAGTGCCAGAGAGTCAATGTTTTAGGCTTATGGGCCCTAGATGGTCCATCACAACAGCTCACCTCTGCCAGGGAAGGGCAAAAGCAGCCACAGACAACCCGTTAGTAATAGAATAAGCACGGCTATGTTCCGCTTTATTTACAAAAAAAAGACTCTTGGCCCACAGTTTGCTGACGCCTGCTCCAGAATATGATACAGGCTTCGCCATTCTTCCACCCTGCCCCAGGCTCTGGAGAGATGAAAAGCCAGAGTGCTGAACCTCCAAGCTTGCAGGCCCCTTCCACTGCTGTGAAATCTCATGGTATAAGGCTGCTCTCCAGTGACATGTTACAGCACCTCCAGTGGTTTTCCCTGACGGTCAAAGCGAAATCCAAACTGGATATTCTACACATACAATGCCGCAAGAGAGAACAATCAATACGAACGAGGGTTACAAACCAAATTCGAGAAAGGCGTATGGCCTGGAGGCTAGGCCAATGCAGGTGGTGTCATAGGAAGCTGTGAATTCCCACCACAGGGTCTCCAGGAAGCAGAAGGCCATGGCTGCTGGACACTGGCGGGAGCAGATAGCCATGCAGGCTACATCCCTCGAAGAAGAAAAGCTGGAACAAAAGAGTGTCACCTGCGTTACCAGGGAACAGACTCATGTACTCACATCCTGCACCCAGACGCCACAATGCCTCAACTCTGGATCTGCTGGGCCTTGAATAGTCCTGGAGCTGTCTGTTGCATCTCTTCAGCTAGACCTGCCGGGGACCATGCCTTTCTTATACTTCCTCTAAAACGTATAGTGGCATTTGCCACTGACAATGTGTGATCACTCTAACTTATTTATTATTAACTAAGCTATGGGACCGCTCACCTGTAAGGAACAAAAGGCTTAGTTTCCTCTGTGAAAATAATGGTGAATATTTAAGTCAAAATACAAATGAGTAGAACATTTTACATTCTACTTTTCAAAAAATGACTGAAGTACCCAGAACTTCATTTGAAGTGATAGGTTTTTTTGTTTGTTTGTTTGTTTGAACAGAGAAAAGGTTTCCTATTTGAGGTACAGCACAAAGTTCCCATAGACTGTTAGATAATCACAGCATAATGAGGAAGGGACCACCGAGGAAGGTGGTTTCAGGCACCCAGAGAAAGGAGCTGTAGATGTGGCCAGATGCAACTCAGCTTTTGCTCCTGAGCACCCAGAGCCCATACCACAGGGTAACAGCTTCATATGCCTACCATCTGGATCCCTCCTCAGGCCACGACCCTTCTCGCCTGACAATACCACCAAGCCTGGAATTAGGCCTGGACTTTTCCTTTTGTTTTCCCAATTCTGAGACTGAATTCCCATGAAAGGATGCCACCTTATCAGGTCAATCAAAAATTTACTGTTCAAGGGGAACAGAAAGAACTTGGTAAGTGAAGGCCTAAATTCTGGAAAACAATGGTGTAAAATCTATAACAAGCCATTTTGAGATTTCAAAACCTGCATTGCCCCATCCCTCCATAGAACGGCTTTTTACTCTAACCCCTAGAATAGGAAATGACATAACACATGAGGAGCAGACCTTGGTGCCTGGTTGCCTCCATTCAAATCCTGGCTCTGCCATTTACTACCAGTCTAACCTTAGGGAAGCTGTTTAACCTTAGTTTCCTCCTCTGTAAAACAGGTATAATACCATTATCTACCTCATAAGCCCATACAGCACTTAGAGTAGTACCTGGCCCATGGAAAACAATCATATTAGCTCTTATTACCATGATTATTGTAACCACTTGATTCCTACTCCCACTGGAGCATTTGCCCCACTGCGCAATATTCAGTTATATATTTCTCTTGTCCCCTTATTAGACCTGGAGTTCCTTGAGAAGAGGGACTTACTTATGCTCATTTTTACTCCCCTGCTCCTGTCATATAAACATTTTTTACTTTAAAATGTTTAAAAAGTGAAAAAATTAAAAAAGCAAAAACTGAAGGCAGGAACTCTAAGTCTTTTTTCTGATTTTCTTGGCTTCCTCACTCTCATCCTTTTCCTTTCCTGACATTTTAATCTAGTATCTCCTTTCGACTCACCTTTTTTCCACCCCTGCACCTAATGCAGAAAAAACTACCAAACTAAAGGCATGAAGACTGGGTGACCAGGGCCTGCCGATGCTCACGGCCGCTCTGCCAGCTGATTCACTTTGCCGTATGACAGAAACTAACAGAACATTGTAAAGCAACTATACTCCAATAAAAACTAATTACAAAAAAAAAAAAAAAGAAAGAAAGAAAGGTGGGATTTGGGGCAGCAGTGCTTGAGTCCCTTTGGTTCTATTGTAAATACACACAACCTTGGACTGCTGTCTGATGTGAGACCTGCTTTTAACACACAGTGTCATCAGCATAATGTCACCTCTGCACGTGGTTAAGATGTTCTTGAACAGTGAACATGCTTGCTTACTGGATACTGAAGTCAAGTCCTTCTGCAGAACCTCGACCTGGATACCGGGCCAGTCGCAAGGCTAAAGTCTTGAGCCGTCTCCTGCATTCCAGAAAATCTTGGCTGTGGTAAAAGTCAGTGGAGGCCGAGAGGGGCAGTCCATCCCTCACCCTAACCACACAGGCAAAAAGGATCATGGACATGGTCCACAAGAGAAGTCATGAGGACACCTGAGGAAGGAAGGTCACCTTGTTACTGAGGGCCGGGTGATGAGCCAGGGACACCACCACCCTTGAAATGTTCACTCTGGGTTGTTTCACCCTCACCCCCACCACAAATGTAAATGTGGCTTTTATTTTTATTTCCCTGCCCTCTACTGCTATGTCACTCCCAATTGTCCTCCCTCCATTAGCCTCCCTGTCTCTTCTTTACTTGTAATCCTCCTTTTCCTTCTCTCTAATGAATCTCTCCATTTGCAGAATTAAAACAACTGGGATGAGGGAACAGAGACCAGAACGGCTCAGGAGCAACAGCAGTGACAGTGGGGAGCAGGACAAAGGCAGCAAGATGGTCCCAAAGGGCCAGGAAGAGCCTGACACTGATGCAGCAGGGGTGGCATCCAGGGACCTGGGCATTTCAGGTCATCCAGCGAGGTAGGTGCTGAGCAGTTTACTTGCCATATCCTCACCTGAAGTGGAGGGCTTCTGAGCATTTAACCTAAAGCTGGCAGCAAGGAAAGCAGAAGGCAAAAATAAAACAGAGAGGATAGTATGTCCTACTGAATTTCTGCATATTTGACACAGAGCCAGTCTTCAAAATGATGAGAGTTCCTACAGATGGCTAAAGGAAGTCACTTAGCAAATAAGATACTAAATTTTGAACCATGATATGTGACCACCATTAAGCAACAAAAGGAGACAGATTCTGAGGCCTCATGGCACCTGTGGCAAATTAGAACAAGGTGCTTCTCGGGGTAGAAACAACCCTGGACCAGTTCTGCTGGCAGAGCCTAGTTGGGTGTCAGCCCCCATCTATTAACTCTGCAGGTGCTCATACAGGGCATAAACTGCACCTCTGCATGTGGCAGCCCTGCAACCAGGGATTAGTGAGGAGGCTATTACAGCTTTGATGCATCTTTCTATGGATCTACACATCCTGTTTCACAGATCCTGTTGCCAGATCCTCCACCTGGATAGGATATTAACAGGTATGGGCACTGGTGGACTTTTCTCCCAAAGAACACTAGGGATGTAATTTGGCATCTCAATTACCACGAGCTGTAGGAAACAGGAGCCCCAGGATGTACACTACTCTCTTTACCTTTGTGCCTCTGTGCACTCTTCACCTATATCTATACTCCTCTGATCTCCCCACATTCAAATCCACACCAAGGACTGTCTCCAATACAAAATTAAAAATAAAATACCATTTAAAATCCAAAAAGTGATCTCAATAAAGCTATACTTTATAGCTTTTCCATCTGTAATGGATGAATGGATAATTATTCCCATTTTATACATGAAGAAACTGCAGTGTTATAAAAATAAGAGATGGCAAAAAGAAAAATTAGTCTACCAGGCAACAGACCATACTCAGCCCATTTGTCCCATCTCCCCACACTTTCCACTGAAGGGTAAAAATGTGAAAAGTCTCAGGAGATAGAAAAGGAAGAAATAAAACTACTCCTATCTGCAGATGGCATAATTGTCTACATGGAAAATGCCAAAGAGCCTACTAAAAAAGAACTCCTAAAATGAATGAGCTCAACAAGTTTGCAGAATATAAGACCGATATACAAAATCAATTCTTTTTCTACGTACCAGCAATAAACACATAGAAACGAAAATTAAAAATAAAATACCACTGACAATCATCCAAAAAGATGATCTCAATAAAGCTATACTTTCTTTTTTTTTTTTGCGGTACGCGGGCCTCTCACCGCTGTGGCCTTTCCCGTTGCAGAGCACAGGCTTCCGGACACACTGGCCCAGCGGCCATGGCTCACGGGCCCAGCCGCTCCGCGGCATGTGGGATCCTCCCTGACTGGAGCACGAACCCACGTCCCCTGCATCGGCAGGCGGACTCCCAACCACTGCGCCACCAGGGAAGCCCAAAGCTATACTTTCTTTAATGCAATACTTAGGTGTTAATCTAACAAAACATATATAGAACTTGTATGCTGAAAACTACAAAACATTGCTGAAAGAAATCAAAGAAGTCCTAAATAAATAAGGAAATATATGTTATTAATTGGAAGACTCAACATAGTAAAGATATCAATTCTCCCCCCAAAGCGATATACAGGTTCAGTATAATTCCTGTAAAAATATCAGCAAGATAGCTTGTAGATACAGATAAGATTATTCTAAAATTTATATGGAAGGGCAAACAAGCTAAAATAGCTCAAACAATTCTGAAAAAGAATGAAGTGGACTGTACCTCACTATCCTATTTCACGATTTACTGTATAGCTACAGTCATCAAGATTGTGCAGTACTGGCAGGGGGACAGACACACAGATCAATGAAACAGAATACAGAACCCAGAAACAGACCTACACAAGAACAGCCAAATGATTGTTGACAATGGTGCAAAAGCAATTAAATGGAGGAAGGATAGTCTTTTCAACAAATGGTGCCGGAGCAATGAATATCTACAGGAAGGAAGGGAGGGAGGGAGGGAGGGAGGGAGGAAGGGAGGAAAGAAAAAAAGAGAATCTTGACCTAATCTCACACCTCTCATTATTCTGATGATAATCAAAATATATCATAAATTTAAATGTAAAATGTAAAACTATAAAAGTGGAAGAAAACATAGGAGAAAATCTTCAGGACTTAGGGGAAGAGTTCTTATGTACGACACCAAAAGCATAATCCATAAAAGAAAAACAGTAAATTGGATTTAATCAAAATTAAAAACTTTTGCACTGCAAAAGTCCACATGAAGAGGATGAAAAGAAAAGCCTGAGACTGGGAAAAAAATATTTTTAAACCACATACCTAATAAAGGACTCTAGATATCTAGAATTTTTAAAGAACTCTCAAAACTCAACAGTTATAAAACAAATAATGCAGTTAGAAAATGTACATGACAAAGTACATGAACAGACATTTCACCAGAGGATATAGAAATGGCAAATAAGAACATGAAAAGATGTTTAGCATCACTAGCTATTAAGGGAAATGCAACTTAAGATCACAATGAGATAATACTACATACTTATTGGCACAGGTAAAAATTTTTAAAGTGACGATATCAAATGCTGGCAAGCATGCACAGCATTTGATGCGCATAATGCGTGAGAACTGGATCTCTTACACATTACTGGTAGGACTGTAAAATGGTACAGTCACTCTGGAAAATAGTTTATTTTAAAACTAAGCTTGCAATTATCATACAGTCTATCAGTCATACTCTGTACTATCTCTGCAATTTCCTGTCAGTATAATTACTTTAAAGTAAAAACAGAAAAAAAAAACTATTACCTTAAGGTTTTTATATCACTTAAAGTATGCTCATACTTGCTTTCTACATTTAAATGTCATTCAAAAAAATCTCTACTAGTAGAACAATAATCTTTTATGCTAATTAACTGTAATTCTGATGATTTATGCATGAATGTTGAAGGGCATGTTTTATAGGGAGCAGCTCCATTCCTACATGACATTTCTAAACTGGTACGTACTATAATCTCTGAATTCATTAAAATAAAAGCCACTTGCAGATAACCAGTATTCAGTTTAAAACAGGAAAGCAGTGGCATGAATCTGGAAAATCATGTCACAGTCACAGAAAAAATATCAATTACACAAGGACAAAGGCAGCCTAAGAGTACTCACCCCGACATACAAATCTTACTAGCTCCTTCTACAGGCCAGCAGACTCTGTAACCTGGCACTACGTCTGGCACATATTAGGAAGCCCTCAATAAAAACTTTTTTTTTTTTTTTTTTTGCGGTACACGGGCCTCTCACCGCCGTGGCCTCTCCCGCTGCGGAGCACAGGGTCCGGACGCGCAGGCCCAGCGGCCATGGCTCACGGTCCCAGCCGCTCCGCGGCACGTGGGATCCTCCCAGACCCGGGCATGAACTCGCTCCCCCCGCATTGGCAGGCGGACTCTCAACCACTGCGCCACCAGGGAAGCCCAATATAAAAACTTTTAAACTAATAAAACGTATAAAAAAAATTAAGTTTTAAAACTAATAAAAATTTTTCCACGATAAATCTCTACTTGGAGAGGAAAAAAGAGCTTTACATAAATGAAATTTTAAAAAATAGAAACTGAAATAGTAATCAAATATAGCACTCCAGTTACTATTAGGTTTTATCAAAATTATATTTTAGTCTGCCTCTGCCATTTCCTAAATCCTTTTCTCAGCATCTATTTATAAACTGCTCATGTCAGAGATTATCCATATTCTACCGGCAAAAGACTGTGCTTAGCTGGAGGGCCCCCTTGTTCCAACTGGTTTCTTTTCATCCCCGTATCCTTAACCCTCTCAAACCCCTGCCACATACACTTCTCCTCCCTCCAAAAGAGAGACAGAAAGCAAGGGGGAGAGACAAACAGCATTAAATGACCAGGCCTTGCAAAATAGTAATTTAAACAAGCAAAACAAGTTTCACTTGGCACACAAATATTCAAACACAAGGGCTCACCATAAGGCATTACCCACTCCTCAAATCCAAAATACAGAAGACAGGAGCTTCCCTAGTGGTGCAGTAGTTAAGAATCCGCCTGTCAATGCAGGGGACACGGGTTCGAGCCCTGGTCCGGGAAGATCCCACACGTTGCGGAGCAACTAAGCCCGTGCGCCACAACTACTGAGCCTGCGCTCTAGAGCCCATGAGCCACAACTACCAAGCCTGTGTACCTAGAGTCCATGCCCCACAACAAGAGAAGCCACCGCAATGAGAAGCCCGCGCACCACAACAAAGAGTAGCCCCCTCTCACCGCAACTAGGGAAAGCCCGCGCACGCAGCAATGAAAACCCAATGCAGCCAAAAATAAAATAAATTTAAAAAAAAACATAAGACAAAATAGAGTTATATCACCCTTACTGAATTCACCTTCAGCCACAGGACTTGAGAACTGGTTACCTCACTTGTAGTTCAAGAAAGTGCCTTGGTTCCGCATTGCTTGGGGATGGGGTAGGGAGAGGGTAGAGGTCAAGTCTGTCACTTGTTAGGAGCTAAGAGTAGGGGGCTGAATTTGATAGCAACTAATATT